GTAATGGACTCAGTCTGGTGGAGGCCTTGGTAGCTGTGGTCCATTAGTCCTTTGGACTAATCTTTTCCTTGTATCCTGTTCTCTTGATTCGCCCTTGCTCCTGAAGGAGTGAGACCAGTGGAGTATCTTAGATGGCTGTTCATAGGCTTTTAAGACCCCAGACTGTATGCATAAATTTTTGTATGAGAGACTAACTTGAATTGTAAACTTTCACTTAAAGCACAACAATTAAAAATAGATATTATTGCCAAGTAAGATTAAATTATAAGTAGTACCTACTCTGTCCAGTGTCAAACAGTCTGAGGATTTCTAACACCTATGTCATGAAAGAGAGAAATATCTTAAAGTTATTATGTGTAAGATGAGCTGTTAGTTTTCTGACACCCATTATGATAAACTGCTTTTTATGTCATATCAATTGGGGCCAAGAGTTTCAATTTAAATTATTACTGTATAAAATATAAATAAAATAGAGATGACTCCTAAAAAAATTAGATGTCAATGAAAGAAAAAGCTTCTGTTCATTATTTAAAGCATGTTAAATTATAGAAAATAGTGCATGCTGATTTAAAGATGTATTATGAAAAGTACTGTCAAATGTCCAAATTACAGGGGCACTTCAGCATTTCTTCAGGCAATGGAGAACTGTTTGACTCCTGGTCGAATATCTATGCTAACAGTGAATGTACCAAACTGCAGGAAAAGCTGAGGCGATAGACACAGAAACATGGTAAGTTCTCTCCATCTGCTACATCCATCATCTTCTCTGACTTGCTGTGACTGAAGAAAGCTTATGTCCATTTTTTGCCCTCACAGTGACCTCAATTTGAATTCCAAAACTGTCAACCATGATAGTGTATTTTGCACTTCTACTTCCTGATTTTTCACTTTCCTTATTGATGAGAAATCCTGACACACTGTCTGGGGCCTAAAGGTAGAGTGGGAGGGTAAGAGTAGATAACCTGACGGCCAGGGTATGGGAGAAGGGTACCATCCATTTTAGGGCACCATCCATTTTAGGGTACCATCGTAAAATGAGAAGTAAAAAACACAAACAAGGTCAAATCAATACCAGCTGTTGAAATATATTTGGGTAGGGGGAGGATTTTGACAGGACAGGCAACCTCATGGAAAGAGCAAATATTTCATGAAGGGACTGATGTCTTATACATTTGTTATCTAGTGGAAATGATTTTAAATAATTACTAAAAGTGAAAATTTAAGCATAATTTCAGTTGTCATGTACTTACACCTACTTGACAGTTACTCTCAAACTGTGGTTTGGGTTTTTAAGAGGAGAGCATATTTCACTTGAGCTTCAGTCCTAACCTGTGGAATACAAAACGGATGAGCTGCAATCATCATTAACTGGATGCTGTATCGGCCAAGAAATCCCTGGACTGTACCTAACGGCAGGAGTTGATGCGAAGAGGAAGTTTCCCATCCAAACATACACATTTATAAGTATATTAATCCATATGCAAAATAATGCAAATAAGAAACAATCAAATAATACTTTATAATGCTGAAAGAACCTAGCAGAAATCTACTATATAAATATACTATATTTAAATCTACTATAAATATACTATATTTAAAAACGATTACTGGGTTGGTTTGTTACCTTAAAGGTATACTTTATTACTAAACCATTTGGACTACAGTATATTAGAATGAAAATATGTTTGCTATAAAGTAATTTTCATAGTTATGAGAAAGCTTTATAAAATGTCTGTGTAAATACAGTCTAAGTAATTATCCTGTATAGACCCTAGTTTCTGCTTTGCAATGTATCCTCCTGTACTAAGTGAGATACGCACTGTTACTTTTTCCGCTTCAACTTCTGGGCTCTTTCTAGCTGAACACAATGCTGTTTGATCAATATTTTAAAATTAAGGCTGCTTAAACATTGTGAAAATAGTTTTTCTCTTGCTAGTGCATTCAGACATCCCTCCCAGTACACACAGGTATAGCCCAAAGGCAAGATCTGTGTATATATTTTTATAAGGATGTAAGTGTGTGCCTGTGTCAGAGTGTGCAGGTAGATTACATATTATGAGTTGATTTTCCATGGAGTTTGCCCATAGACAAAGTGCTCTTCTCTTAAAAATTATTTGTTTTTATTATGTAAAGTTTAAACGAGCAAGTCTAGATTCTGTATCAGTTTCTTTTTAGCTTTGTAAGAGAGAAGCAACTCTTCTGAGAAAGAATGAGATGTTGACAAGATTGAGTTTTTAAGCCTTCAAAGCCGGGTGTAAAACCACGGGCTAAAGGAAATTGACTCAGATAACGCTATACTGTTAAATACCTCTGCAGCCAGCTAGATGGTTTTTCCACTAGAAACTTCAAAATCTATAAAATTGCTTATTTAAGCACTAATATTTGACTGTTTCTAGTAGGTTAATTATATATTTATACCGTACTATTGCAATTTACTGTTATCATCTTTCTATGCATTTGTACTACTGAATAAGCAATATAACTAGATTTGAATTTGTCAGTCTATGTAAGTCTGTGTTCATTTGTTCTTAGTTAGTGAAGGCGAGTACATGTGACTACTTGGTCAAGTGCATTCTACTCTTTCCAATAAGCAAGAAGGTAAATGCGGCTGCATTTTTCAGGCATCTTGATGGTCCTAACCAGAGATAATTTAGGGACTGGAGTAAAACATGTTTCAGTTGTAATTTCAAGTCCTAACCCTCTGTTACCAGCATAAAACTGCAAAAGAAAGCCCTAATCAAATTTCTAACATAATACTTCCGACAAAGTGACAAAAAAAAAAAAAAACCTCACTTCTTAGAGTTATTGAGCCTTCAGAAGTTCCATTATAAAATACAATCTGATTCAAAAATGTTAGTTTTAGATAGGAAAAATAACAAGACTACAAATATATTCATAAATAACCCCATAAAATCAGTGTTCATATTCATGTCTTCTTTTAATATTTGCTCTTATATAACTGCCTAGTTCATCTTGATGTTAATCCTAATTATTACATGGAAGTCAATTAGTAATATAATTTTGTTTGCAACATTATCATATTTGATTTTTTAAAAAAGCCCTCAGTAGCAAAGGGCAAGTATCTTGGGGAGACTGTCCACATTGGCAAACATAGTGAGTGACAGAACGAAGAACACAAATCTAGGTTTTGACTTGAAAGCCTGTTGTGTGTGTGCGAGTGTTTTGGAAAAATCCCATCACAGTCTCTCTATAAAAGCATATGTATTATTTTCTTCATGGAGAACAGCTGGATATGAATGAAAACATGTGGGGAACAGTAACAAGGTGCTCATGCCCTTTCCAGCCACGGTGGTGAGTGGGGAGCTTGAACTTTCTCCTGCTTCCAATTGTAACTACCCCCCCCCACCCCCAGTGTCAATAGAGGCTGAGTGGGAAACCTGAGCTTCCAGCACCATGTGACAGTAATGAGGTGGTACCTTCCTCCACCCCACCCTCAGCCAGTGCAGTAATAGAGGATGCCTACTACAACAAATTTAAATATCCAAAATGAAAAAATAGAAAGCTTAGCAAGTAAGTAGAAAATATAAAAAAGAACCAAATGGAAATTTTAGAACCGAAAAATACAATAACCAAAATAAAAGCTCAATAAATAAACTCAAGAGCATAATGCAGATGACAGAGGAAAAAGTCAGTAAACTTGAAGCTAGAACAATGGAAATTATCCAATTTGAACAATATAGAGAAAATAGACTGAAAACAAATTTATTCTGACTTACTCTTTCCTTCTCAAAAAAAGAGAATTCATTTCACACAAAATTATGCAATAAGAAAGGATCATTATAGAATATAAAATTATTATAGTAAGAAAGAATAATATCCCTAAAAAAATGTGTCAGAAAGACATGCTCTTAAAGGAGATAAAAACTGTAACCAGATATTTCAAGTTGAGCTAACAGAAATTAAGAAAATAGTATGTTATTAGAGAACAATATAAATCAGAATTAGAAAAACTGAAAAATAAGGTGATTGGAAAAAAGGCAGATTTAAAAAGAGAGGTAACAGAACTCAGGAAAGTTTTTTTTTTAAATTTTAATAAAGAACGCTAAACTCGAAGGAACACAAGAACAAACAAACTCAATGAATAATAACTTTAGAAAAAAAAGATGGAAAAGGAAAAATATTTAAATTCAAAAAGAATTTAAAAAATGAAAATAATTCAATAAAAAATGATACCAAGGATAGACAAAGATCAACCATAAGTAATATAGAAATCCCCAAATAAGAAAATCAAAGCAATGTAACATAACAAATATAATAGCCTATAATTTAAGAAAATGTAACTGAAAAAAAAAGAAAATTAAAACTATTAAAGTACTTGCTGCATATTTGGGAAAATCAATCCAGAATGGGAAGCCCTGAAATATAGTCTAGTAAAACTAAAGAAATGTAAAGAAAAAGGAAAAAAAAATATTTCAGCCATATTCAATCTTTGCAGAATGCAAAATTTTTTTCAAATGAACATGAAACATTCACAAGACAGGCCACGCTGGGCCGTAAAATAAGATTCAATGGAACTGACTACAATAGATTTAAATTAAAACTTGGTAACAAAATATTTTAAAATCCCTAAATATTTGGTAATTTAAATACATACTAGTAAATAATCTGTTTCAAAGAAGAAATCATAAAGGAAATGAGAATTTCAAACTGAATAGTAATTAAAAAAAATCAAAATTTGTGGGATGTAGCTAAAGCTGCATTTAGAGAGAAATTTATAGCTTTATAATTGCCTATATTATGTAAAAAATGATTCAAATTCAGTGACTTAAGCTTCCAATTTAAAAAACTAGAAAAAGAAGAAAAAATTAAATCTAAAGAAGTAGGGGAAAGAATAATGATGATATTAGAAATCAATAAGTCAGACAAACAATAGAGAAAATAAATCCAAAAGTTGATTTAAAAAAAAAATTAATAAAATTCATAAACATGGCAAGGCTATACCTCAAGAGTTTATTATAAGACAACAATAAAAACCTTACCTTGGCCAATTGCGTAATTTTACCAAAACCAGGCTTCCGAGAGGGAGCTGCGAATAGACAATCTTAAATCCACTCTGATGAAGCTGAGACTCTTCGGGAAAGTCTTCCTCAGAAATAGAGCACCTATTGTGTCTTGTGTCAGTGTTCATGAAGCAGTACCATGGTTCACTGTGATTGACTTTGGCTGCATCCTCACTTGACAACAGCCTCCATTTCAAACAATTTTCATTCTCACACTGAACCCACACTTTGTTTACATACATGTTGTTTCCCACTGAGGAATCCATTGTAGTGTTACAATATTCTTCAATTATCTCCCCACCCAAGTTTTCTTTCTCCATAACTGATTTTCATCTGAAAAATAAATAAAAGAGGGGAAAATAAAGGAGTAAGAATTCAAGAGGGCATATAAGGAGAGATCATTCAACCCCAAATCAGAAAAATACCTCTTTGATATCATCTTTGTCCACCCCTACTTCTATCCTACAAAGACAATCCATGCTGAAAATATTGTGTTTCCATCTACTCAGAAACAAAGGAACAAAATAGAAGCATCAGTCATTTTGGACATAAAATGCTCCAAAATTCAAAATAAGGAAAGTATGATGGAGCAGAAGAGGAGTGAATTTTATCTGTAATTCCTATTAACCTGCTACATAGCACACATCCGGCAGGTGTCTAAGATATTTCTGCCATAACAATAGCTAAGCCTTTCTATATACTAACTATGCACTAAGAATTATTCTAACTGCCTTATATGCACAGCTTATATAGTCTTCCCAGCAACCTTATTATGCCCATTTTTACAAAGAAAACTGAAGCTAAGAGAGATAAAGTAACTTATTTAAGGTCCCAGAGCTAGCAGGTGGTAGAGCTGGGATTTGAATGCAGATCGTTTGGTTCTAAATTCTGTGATCTTACCCACTAGGCAGCACTAGATCCGTTTATTTTTCTAATTCCCTGGGGAAAAACATGTAGCAAAATATTGCCCCATATGAAAACTTAAAATTTATTTTTAAAAAATGAAAGGAAACTTTTGCTTATACAGTTTTTTGCTATTTATCCAATATTAATTCAAATGGTTTGAACAAAAACACCTTCTCAGATTTTTTTATTATCAAAATGTTAAACACATAAAAAGTTATACAGAAATACATGATAAAGCACCCAATATACAGTTTCAAAAACAGTTATGTGTATACTAATAAAATAATGAATATAACTAAAATACAATATAACTATTAGCAACTTATTGTACAATACAAAGTCTATTTCTTAACCCAAAAGAAAAGAAAAAACCACTTTCATATACCATATTCATGAGTTAGCAGAACATACAACTCAAGTGTAAGCACTGCTTAAAATGGCTCTTAATTCATGAGTTAACACTTCTTGGTCATGTGTTGTGATTTTTTTTCTTTAATATACACTTAGTTTATTAATAATTAAGATTTATATATATATATGTTTACAGATAAGATTGACTTATTATTTTCATTTCTACTTTTGTTTTAGTCCGGTTTGAATATCAGGATTACAGAATCATAAAATGAAGTAAAGGAGGTCCCCTATTTTTTCTAGAAAGTTTGCCTAAGAGAGTAATTTTCCAATTTTGTCACAAATTTTAGAATTTTAATCTATCTACTATATCTCTCATTATCTTCTATTTACTTAAATCGCTGCACTTTTATCCTTTCATCCCTTCTGCTTTCTTGGTGTATTCTTAGTTGCTCTGTTTTCCTCTTTTTGAGTTGATGCTTGCTTAATTCGTTTCAGTCTTTTCTAATACGTGCATTTAAGGCTATATACATTTCTCTCCAACTATTGTTTTATTATATAGTTGTAAATATTTTCTAATTTCCATTATTTTCATCTTTGACCAATGAGTTATTTACTTTTTTTTTAATTTCAGAAGGTATGAGGATGCGGGTTATCTTTTTGTTACTGATCTTCAATGAAATTACATTTTGGTCAGAGAGTATGATCTCTGTGATACTGATTTATTGATATTTGTTTGATTTGTTCTGTGACCCTATATACAATACTTGTAAGTGTTACCTGTGTACTGACAAGGATGAATATTCTTTAATCGTTGTATAGAAGAGTCTGCATTTAATGATTACACCAAGCTTTACAAAGCTTTGTAATTGTGCAGTTCAAGTCTTTTTATCTGTACTAAATGATTGATCTATCAATTGCTAAGGGAGCTATGTTAAACTCTCTCACAACAAATGTGATTTCATAAGTTTATCCTTATAATTCTGTCATTTTTTGTTCTTTGCTCTTTGAGGCTACGTTATTACATGCTCACATTTGTTACATCTTGCTGATGAATTCTTCTCTTATTATTATGTAATGATACAATTAATCTCTAGTAATGCTGTTTGCCTTAAAATCCATTTGGTCCACTATTATTGTAATTATCATAACCATAATTAACTACTATTATGTAACTGGAGCCCTGGTGGCATAGTGGTTAAGCGTTTGGCTGCTAACCAAAAGGTTGGCAGTTTGAAGCCACCAGCTGTTTCTTGGAAACCCTATGGGGCAGTTCTACTCTGTCCTATAGGGTTGCTATGAGTCAGAATCAACTCAACAGCAACAGGTTTATTATGCAATTATCAAAACACAATTATCTACTATTATGTAATTATCATAACAGTGAAGTTAGCAGTTATTTTTTGATGGTTTGTTCCTGGTATACCATTTCCAATCCCTTTTGTCTTAGAATTCTCCAGAGAAACAGAACAAATAAGATATACATACATATTACATATATGGAAAGATTTATTTTGAGCAATGGGCTCGGACAATTGTGGGAGATGACAAGTCCAGAATCTGTAGATCTGGTTAACAGGTTGGAAACTCTTGCAGTCTTGTGTCCAAAACTTGGTAGGACAAGCAGTGGGCTGAAAATTCTGGCAGGATGTCTATTTACAGTCTTGAGGCAGAAATCCTTCTCCCTCAGAAAACCTCAGTTTTTGCTCTTAAGGCCTTCAACTGATTGGATGAAGCTTACCAACATTATAGAGGTTTATCTGCTTTATTTAAGGTCAACTGATTTAAATGTTAATCACATTTAAATATCTTCATAGCACCATCTAGTGTCTGACCAAACAACTGGGCACCACAGCATAGACAAGGTGATAGATAAAATTAACCATCACACCTTTATATTTAACCTTCCTAGTATTTTATGTTTTTGGTCTCTGCCTCCAGTAAACGGCAAATAACTGGATTTGCATTTTTATCCACTCTGAGATATCATCTTTTAACTGGTGACTTTAGTCCATTTACTTCTTTTGTGATACTGATATATTTGGATTTGATTTTGTGCCTTGCATTTACTATGCTGTTTCGTCCTTTCTCCTTTCCTATCTTATATTGGAACAAATGAATTTTCTTTCTTCCTCTTCTACTGGTTTTCGAAGTTTACATGCTATTTCTATTTTAACAGTTACTCTTAATATTACCCTTAATGCTTGATTTAGCAAGGTCTAAACTGATCAGTGGTTGAGTTCTTGCCTTCCATGTGGGAGACCCAGGTTTGATTCCCGACCAGTGCAGCTCTTGCACCGCCACCACTTGTCAGTCAGTGGTGGTTTGTGTACTGCTATTATGCTGAATAGGTTTCAGCAGAGCTTCCAAACTAAGATGGATTAGGAAGAAAGGCCTGACAATCTACACCTGAAAATCAGCTGATGAAACTCCTTTGGATCACAACAGTTCCATCTCCAACCAATCAAAGGGATGATACAGGACTGGGCAGGGTTTTATTCTGTTGTGCACATGGTCACCATGAGTTGGGGCTGACGCAACAGCAACTAACCACAAGAACAACAAATTAATCAATATCTCTACCTTTCTCCAAAATACTTTAAATTGTTTTAACTCTGATGGCCCTCTTGTCCTCTATGTCATTTCTTTCTAGCATGATTGTTTATTTTGATTTTATAATTCAAAATTGGTCATTATCATCATGAATATTCTCACAGCCAATGTTTAGATTTTTCCACGTATTTTCCAATTTCTTTGCCCCCCATTACCATTACAGCTCATTTCTCTCTTCTGATTTTAAATTCGTTGCACCAGATACATCTTTCATTCTATTAGCAGTGATATGTGAGTGGTAAAATCTCTCCACCTTTGTCTGTCAAAAAATGTCTGTTTTTTTTTTTTTTTTTTTGGTCTGTCGTTTCAAATGCTAGCTTAGCTCAGTAGGTTTCAGGTTAGCTTCTAGGTTAACAGTTACTCATTTTTAGGATTTTGAAGATACTATTCCAACATGTTTTGGCTTTGACTTTTATTGTTGAGAAGTTTTTGTATTTTCTTTCTATCTGCTTTTAAGATACACTCTTTACCTTTTGTGTTTTGCAGTTTCACTGAAGTGAAATTTCCTTTATTCCATTTGAGACTTGCTGTGCTTCCTGAATCTGCATTTACGGACTGTTTTTCGTCAGTTATGAAAAATGATCCATCATCTCTTCAAATATTATCTTTCTTTTCTCTCTATTCTTCTCCTCCTGGAACCTCTTTTATGCATGTTGGGCCTTTTGATTTTATATTCTAATTTCTTTTAAAATGACTTTCATATGTTCCAAAACTATTGCCCTGTAGTAAATACATGGTAATTTCCTCAGCTCATCTCCCCTCTGTTATGTTTAATCTAGTGATGAGTTTTTAATTTCAGGCTTTTCTAGATACAGAAGTATATTAAGAGAAGTATAATATAGTATCAGGTCTTACTTGGCACTTTAATTTTTTGTTGGTTTTAACTGATCAAAGACTTTTATTGTTAGACATTGTACTTATTTCTCTAAAAGGATGACCAAATATTTAATTTTTCTAACTAAAGATAAAAACCACCTTTAACTCTACCCACATTCTTCCCCAAAGGTAACCACCCCTATTACTTTAGTGTGTATTCTTCCAGATATTTCCTATGCATTTCCATATCTGTGTGTTTACATATAAACAAAAGAATTCGCCATTTTTCAACTTTTTGCAATTTTATTTCTGTCTTAGAGATCATTCCTTGTTAGAATGCATCAAGTCACTCTCATCTTTAGTTATCTAGTGCTGCTATAACAGAAATACAACAAGTGGGTGGCTTTAACAAACAGAAATTTATTTTCTCACCGTTTAGGAGGCTAGAAGTTTGAATTCAGAGCACTGGCTCTAGGGGCAGGCTTTCTCTCTGTCGGCTCTGGAGGAAGCTCCTTGTCCCTTCAGCTTCTGCTTCCTGGTTCCTTGGATATCTCCATGTGTACTGGCATCTATCTCACCCCATCTCTATGTCTCTTGCTTATTTAGTCTCTTTTATATCTCAAAAGAGATTAAC